CCCGCCGCTCCTGGTCTTGTGGGATGAATATCTCCTGACGTCTCTGCTCTCCTCCTTGAGGCACGCTCCCTCCGGCCCTTGCCCGGCCATCGGGAGAATAAAGCGTGAGCAGCAGCCCCCCACCCGCCCTCCCCGGCTCCTCAGGCTGCTCCGGCCCCGCAGGGCTGGCTTCCCAAGGACTCTGCGGTGTAGTGCCTCCAACGTGCGGACCTAGAGGTTTCCCCAGGACTCCGGGGGGGGGAACTGGTCCACATCCCCCATTTCATTGTAGGTTTGCTCTCCCACGGTGAAGGTCAGCTTGTACCGTAGCCTCACTTTCTCCTGGAGACAGGGGAGAAAGGATAAGCAGTCAGAAGTGGGGGAAGAAAGGCATGAGGCACAAACCATTCGGGCCTCTAGGAAGCTCCAGAGAGCAGAGGGAATAGGGACAGGGTAGCCAGGCTTTGTCCAGGCAGCAAAACCAGCCCGCTCATGTCCCAGGGACGGTGCTGTTACCTTCTGTGGGTTAGCGAGCAGCAGGACTTGTGTGATGGCACTAGGGTGGACAATGGGGTTGAACGCTGGCAGCTCTGTGCCCGAGGGAGGCTGTAGCTTCACCTTCATCACCTAGGGAGAGAGAAGAGCATCCCACAGTCCTGAGGGGGACTCAGCAGCAAGAGGCCCCGCTCACATCAGGCATTTGGGGAGCTTCCACTGTCTAGTCAAAGAGAAGAGCATTGCGCTGGTTCCTGCTAATCTGAAGGCAGCACAACTCGCTCCCAGCCCCACGGAGCTGTCTCCACCCACCCTGCCTCTCCTGTGAAGGGAGAATCACGCTTCAGCCCAGCCGGAGGACCTCCGCCCCAGCAGCTGCCTTACCTTGGGGACGGCAGACTGAAAGACAATGTTGCGGATGGGCTGCGGGGCCGTGCTAAGCATAGAAATCACCACCACAAGCACATCGGGCCTCTCGGGCAGGGCGTCCTTAGCGAAGTGGAAGAGGACGCGGAAGCCGTGCTGATCATACACCGTCACAGGGAGGATGCTGCCTGCGGGAAAGGCAGGGACAGGCAGCGGTCAGCCAGGAGGCAACTGGCCCTGCAGGAACCTTTCCCCATCACCCAAATTACATACAAGTGACAGAGACACCACTCCTCCTCAACCTCCACAAAATCCAACATGCAAGAAGTTTCCTCGCATTCTTCCCTTACATATGCACATGGTTTTTGTTCCACCTTCTTCATGCCCTGTCCAGTTGTTTCTTTCTTCCCCGATTTGTCTGGCTCCCTTCCAAGCAGTCCACCCCCCAAGCTTGCCCCCCTCTTTCGCCCCGGGCTCACTGGGTTTGATTGACTCCAGAGGCACAGTGATGTTGGCCAGCGAGATCTCCTGGGGCAGCGCGGTGGCAGGAGGCCGTGGTGGTGCGGTACTTCCTGCTGGTGCGGTGGCAGCTTTCGGAAGCGTAGCAGGGGCAGGGAGCTCTGAGGTCAGGGGGAGCGTGGGGTTAGGGGAAACACTCTGGAGCACAGGCAGAGTGCTGGGATTGTGGGCTGTGGTGCCAGAGCTGCTCCTGTTCTGGAGGTCCCTCAGGGTGAGCCGGGGGGGTGGCTGATGCTTCTCCCTGTAGGGGGAGAGAAAGAGAGCATGGAGTGGAACAGGTCTCTGAAATGTCCGTGTCCAGCACCCCAGAGATGGAAACGATGGGGAGAGATGCGAGACTGCACTACTGCTGCTTACCAACGCACTTGTTGAGACTCTGGAGGCAAAGACTGTTGCAGCAGAGTCTTGCCCAGGAGGTCCAGGTCATCCAGGCCACTGGTGAAAGGAGAAGGTTTGGGGGAGGATGCGCCAGCGTCTGCTTTGACTGGTGGTGTTGCCGTGACAGGGGTGATACTGAGCTCGTTGCTATCTGATGACTGTAGAAAGAGTGCACAGGAGAGCCCCCCAAGCAGGGTTGCGTATCAGCACCAACCATCAGACGCGGGATGCTTCCCTGCCTACTCCATCTGTTGCTTCCACCACCCTCCTCGCCTTCTGCTCTGGCTCCCAGCACGTTACCTGGAAGCTGTTCCAGCCACTGCTGTCACCAGCCTGGGCAGGATGCGGTGCTGGGTCATTCAGGCCTGTCGGGGGTAAAAGCAAACACGAAGCTTAGCTACCAAGTGGACGAGGGTTAAACGGGGCCTGAATAAGGCGCCTGTAACCAAGGTCCCTCTGGTTGGACAAGACACAGAAGCAGCAGGGCAGAACCACCACCATGGTCTCAATCTCTAACCCTCATCCTTGCTTGGGGGAGCACAGGGAGGCTGACTATTTTTTCTGCTCGGAGATCCTCACTTACAGTCTAACTCCTAGTGCAGCTGGCAGAGAAGTGAATACTACTGGGGTGACAAGCCCCACTTGCACCTGCATCTAGGGGACCAAGCTGTCTACTTCATGCTGTTGTACTCAAAGCACGTATCTTAGCAAACAGACACTTTGTTGGGAAAAGCTGGACTCTAGAGCCTTCTAGGACTGGCACCTCATAAGACATCCACGTGAAAAGTTCTCTAAGTCCTATGCATCTGTCACCAGCTCATGACTTCAACTGCAAGGAGTAAACATGAGGAGCTGGGGGTGATCCACCCTTGTGATCCCACCTGGGGATGGCCATTGCATCACTCTTGATTCACCCACCAGTTCAGTTTCCCCAGAGCAAATCAGAGGGCACATCCCTGTGCGTTCTCTCTGAACACCGTGGGACTGAAGTTCAGAATCATAGCAGGGTCCTTCCCTCCTTCTCCCTCACACTAAATGAAGGACACCTCTTGGTCTTCCATTACTCACCTCTCCCAGAGCTCTCCCTTACTTATGTTCCTGCCACAAGGAGAACCATCCATGCAGACTGTCCAGAGTCACGCAGAGAATAAAGAGCTTTTGCTCTGTATTTCTTACCTAAAGACATGAGTTCATCATCCAGCAAGGAGACAGAGCCAGTTTGGTCAGGCACGGGGACTGCTGAGCCACCTGAAAGGGTGGGCAAGGCTGGGTAGGAAGGGCCTGTTGCCGGAAGATCCAGGCCCGACAGATCCAGAAGCGCTGAGGTGCTGCCTGAAAGAAGGAACAAGCTGAGAGACAGAAACATCATCCAGTCCTTATCTGGTGTTCTGAGGCCAGTTCCCATCCCTCCTCACCTGGGAGAGCGAACTCCCCCTCTGCTCTCCCTTCCAATTCCCTCTCTTCATGCATCAGTCATCTCCACAAGCCATTTCCCCATCTCACCAGCCCCACACTGAGCTCCTGCAGGTTTCACCTTCCAAATTGTCTCAGTCTTCGCTTACATTGCGGGAAGCCGGCAACAGAGTCCCTCTGGTTGACCCTCCTGTCGCCATTCCCCAAGTCTCCTCACCTCGAAGGGGACCGGCCACTGTCTCCCCATTGATCTCTTCTCCCCGCACAAGCTGCTTGTAGAGATTGATCACCTGTGTCAGATTGTCATTGGCTTGCAGGATCTCTGCTGAAATGGAAGAGGTGGGAAGTAAGTTCAAGTCGTGAAGAAACGACGAGAGCGACTTTTATACCCCAACTGTGTCTACTCCTTCGAAGCAGGGCCTGAGGAGCTGACAGCAGCCCACTGCATTTTTGCAATTGTAGCTGCAAACTGTGTCAGGGTACATTGACACCTCCATGGCACTCTCAGCAGGGCAAGCACAAGCGTTGTTCCTACAGCGAAGCAGAGGAAGGCTGTAACGCCGCTGACTGCTGCCATGTGTCCCCACTTAGGGCCAAGCTATAGACTGACTAACCTACAGCGAGCAGCCACCCCAAACAGAGCGGCGGCTGCTGACAGAGGCCGTGCCACGCTCCCTGAAAGATGGAGGGAGAAGGGGACAGAGTGAGAAAGGACAGATAAGCTTACCCAGAGCTTCATCATTGTCTTCTGTGTCACTGGCGAGCCGGAAAAGCATGGGCCTCATGCGCTCGCAGCGCTGATACAGCTCCTGAGGGAGAGGAGAAAGGGGTGCTGAGGCAAGCAGCAGGATGCTCAGCTGGGGGTGCAAAACAGGCAGGAGGAACTTGCAGGGATAAAGGTCACTCATCTCTGCTAAGCTCAGGGAGGATGCTGGGAAGGCCTTTCCTCACCTTCATTAGGTCCTCATTGCTCTCCGTTGTCTCCCCCCTGCTGTGGTTTGTAACCATCTCTGTCAGCAGCTTCACGTTGTTGTTTACCTCCTCGATGGCATTCACCCTCTTGGAGATCTTCTCCATGCGCTTCTGGTCCTGGAGGGGAAGCACACGGGGAAGGATGTCCTTGCTCCTGTCTGCAACTTGGAGAGGAGGAAGGCTGGGCCAGCCAACACACCACCTCCCTGGACTACAGCACAGCAATGCTGCCCTCCAAACAGCTCCCACTCCAGTATAAAACTCCAGGTCATCTCTGGGCCAGCACTTCCCAAACAGTGATGGAATTGCCACAAATCTAGTGCTGCAGCAGGGCTTGGGCCACAGAAAGCACCCAGAGCCATTCCTTCAAGTAGCCAAAGGATGACAGAAATCACACACGGACTCTTTAGCAGCTGCTGCTGCAAAATTTTGGGTAGCAGCTCCTTCTGTCTGCATGAGGATAGAGAGCCACTGCTCCCTTGGTGCCAACCACTGCCACCCAGACCACGACCCCCCGCTCCCCTTCTCCCCAGCCGCACCTCCTGAACCATCTCCTTGATGAGCTTGTTGGCAGCCCGGAGGTCCTCAGGATGGGAACTTTTCAGGAGACGAGCCAGTATCTGCAAGACAGAAAGCACCTCTGAGCCCAAGCTGGGAGGTGGCAGCCAGAGTCACTCTTGCAACACGAGAGCCGGTGGTTACCCCTGCCCCAAACCCGTATCTGTCAGAGGCTGCGGACAACGCCAGCCGTTTGAAAGCCGAGCCACGAGGGCTTGTGGGCTATCAGGGACCAGGGAGAGAAGAAGTACAACTGGTCTTCCTTTTCCCGTTGTGGTTCTGGTTATGTAAGACAGGTCTTTCCCTGAAGATCCCCTGCATTCAAAACCTGCTCCTGCCTGCCCGTCATGCACCACAGAGATGCCAGAGCACAGCAGCACTAGTGCTGAGAAAGAGGGAAAGCCTGGTTTACACAGGAATTGCCATAGGATTGCAATGGACTCCTACTCGGACCTCTTCACACGCCTCTTCGCAGGTGCAGTTGGCGAAGAGGGAGAGCTCCCACTTTCTCTCCCCTTCTGTAGTCAGTGAACTGACTGGCCACCTACAAATCCTCATTTGCATGCTGTGACCCATGGAGGAAAAATATATCCCCTGCAGCAAACTGGCATCATGCTTCTGCTGCAGAAGTAGACCCCAAGAGCCTAGTACTTGCTTAAATATACCAGCACTGATAAAGCAGAGGTTTGCCCGAGTGGTGACACAATTCTGATGGAAAGGCAATACAAGATGGGTCCACAAAGGTACGAGTAGTTGGGCAATAAGTAGATTGCAGTGCTGGAGGTGGGGAAGAGATAAGAGCAGCAGCATCTGGGGCTGGGATTTAAACCTCATGGCCAGATAACTCAGAGGCGTGGAGACCACACAGCAGCAAACCTCCCAGAATCTGCTGGGCTAATGTCAGCACTTCACCCTTTGCACCAGCCTGAAGCTAAGCGTTCCAAAGGTCAAACAGACCCACATGCCCCACCTCTGGCTGTTTCCTCTGTCAGGATTTTGGAGCGGGCCCTCAGCATTCCTGTGATGCATTTTCTGAAGGACAGCATGTGGAGCACAGGCCTTGAGTCTTTCTGGATCTCTGCCTCAGGGCAACAGGAGATCCTGGAGCAGGGAAGATGTTGCCTGCTGTCCCTGCCCTTGCACAGTGCCCTTACCTTGGATTTCTCTTCATCATCAAAGATGATGTTCTTGGGCCGAGGGGGAGGCGGCGGAAAAGGAGCATCGTCAGGCAGTTTTGGGTCACATTTCACGATCCCTGCAGTGGAGACCAATGGAGAGGTCAGGAGGGGGGACCCCCCACTGGGGGATGGCACTGCCACCTAGGTCATTTCTTCCCTCATGGACCACCAAAGCCAGCTGGGACCGAGGGGGTTTGGGTCTGCTCCCACTACCCATGATCCTGGACTGTGTTTTCATGCAAGAACTGCCCCCTGCCCTCCACCGATACCCTGTCTCAGAAAAATCCAGCACTGACTGCCAAAGCACTCGCAGCCCTCCAGCCCCAGCCCCTTCCAGTACCCCACCTCCTGCAGGAGCAAGCAGATGTCCTCTCCAACCCATCAAACAGCTCAGACCACCAGCAACCCCCCCTGCCCAGTCAGGAGCCCCGAGGCACGCCCCCCTGCCCCTGCCCCTGCTGCGGAATCAGCCAGACTGGCGGATGTGCTGGGTCTGGGCACAGGAAGGGAAGAGTCTGTCTCAGATTCTGCCCAGACAGAAAAAGAAGGGAGGGCAAACCGTCCACCCACCTTCCCTTTCCAGGGCACTGCCTCTCACCTTGTTTCTTCAGCATCTGGTAGGCTTCTGAGATCTTCACCTCGTGAGGCAGCCCTAACGTCCAGCTGTACATCAGCTCCAGGATCTTTGACTTCACTTTTTCTGGTGTCCGGCTGCCAAGATACTAGAGGAAGAGGGAAGAGGTGGCTTGAAGCTGATCTGAGCCGTTGCAAGCCTGGCCTGTTCCTCTCCTCCCCTCCCCCAGGAGAAGTGAGACAGTTCCCAACGACACAGGGAGGAAGAAAGAGGAAGCAAGCAGGAAAGCTCACGAGGCCCTTGCAACACGTCCTATGCTGCGCCTGGTTTCCACCACAGCAAAACACAAGAGGTGGGAGAAAAGCTGCACCAGCAGCCCCTCAGTGACACCTGGGGACAGGTGGGAAGGCTCAGGTGGGTCTCTCTTGCCTTGTGAAGGAAAGGGTACTGCTAACAGAAGCCGCTCGGCAAGGCAGCCCTTCTGGAACAAGCGGACAGCAGGGCTGGGAGGGGAAGGACTGTGGGGAACGGTCCCTGAGCCCAGCCCTCTCTGAGGGGCACTCTCCAGCACAAGTGCCTGGCACCCTTTTGAGCTAGGTGAGCCCCAGATGACCAGCACCCAGCAGTGAGACGTCGAAACGTTACAGTTCTCTTCTGGCCATACAATTATCCTCCACTCTTCTCCTGTGGGTCTGCTGGGGGCATTGGTGGTAGAAAACGTGCGTGTGACACCAGAGGCCAGTGGCTTAAGATAGAGGACATTCTCTAGAATGCCTAGCAAGAGGATTTTAGCGTGCTGCTGTCACTGTCCCTGGCTATTCCTCATCATAGATCACAAGCTGTGACTGGCACATGAAGGTTTTCCTTAGTCATATTTAGTTTGTGTTCCTTTAACTCCATACTTGCTGGTGTTAACTGCCTCAGCTGAATAGGAGAGCATGCACAGCTTGTTTTGCTGCAGGAACAGCAGCATCAGCAGCAGAGCAGGTAGGGACTTGGTGCTTCAGGTGGACTTGGCAGAGCACCACTGACCAGGCCTGGGCTTGCCCTCTGAGAGTGTCTCAACCAGGCTGGGACATCCCAGAGAGACGGGGTCACCACGTCAAAGCTGAGGGAGGTTACTGAGCACGTGCAACACAGACAGGGCCCAGGAGAGATGCAGGGAAGATGACTCTAGGCACACAGGTGAGCTCAGCTGTCTCACAAGCGCTGGTTGCATCACGTCTAGCTGGCCCTCGGCTTCCTGTGTCAAGAATCAGCCAGGAGCAGAGGGGTGAAAGTTCACCTTCCCACTGGAAAACTCATCGGGGAACAAGGACTAAATCTCCTACTAGCACTGTCCTGTTTCCCCCACATCCCAGTGGGTGTTTGACCTTTCTGCTCAGCCACTACTTCTTCCCAAAGCCCTCCTGCCACCAGGCTCCGATTCCCCTCCGGCACCATCCCGTAGGACCCACCTTGGGTGACACCACTTTGATGAGCTCATTGAGGAAGCGGAACTTGCCCACCTCATCGTGGAAGCGTTTGCCGCAGCTCTTCATGCAGGACTCCAGCACCTGAGGAGAGGGGCCGGGTGAGCCCCGGCACCGGGACAGCAGCAGGTTCAGGCGCTGGCTCCCCCCCCCCCCTCCCCCCCCCTCGCCGGGCACGGAGCCTGTGGCTATCCTCACAGCAGCGTGGAGGGACACTGCCTTTCCTGCCCAGGTGGCCAAACACCCTCCCAAAGAGAAGCAAGAAGATTTTCCTCTTGGGGGTCAGTCTTTGTAGAGGTGGCTCTCAACAGCCCATGGAAAGAGATACACCCTTAAGAGAGCCCGTAAATGCTTTCATAGCATGGATATACAACGCAAGTAAGGGAACAAAAAGCTTCCTGTTGACTTCAACAGGCTATGATCCTTCCTAGCAACAAGACCTTTCCCACCAGTCACCCCTCCTCTCCTGTGCAACCACCTTCAGCCCCAATCCCACCCAAGGGCTCCAGGACTTTCTCAGAGGGAGTTCAAAGCTTCCTGTGTTCCTCCAGTCAAACTGGAGCAACCCCACACCAAGGTCCTCCTTCTAGTTCTACCAGCCTGCAGATGCCCTTACCGTGAGGGCCTGGATAGCTTCCCATTCCTGCGGAGACTGGATCTTGTGGGCCAGAAGTCGGGTAGCGAGCGGAGGACTGGAAGGAGCAAGCGGAAAAAAAAAAAGCTAGCCGGTTGTTGATGAAAAGCTTGGTACCTGTGTTTCTAGCTGGAAATCCAGCGCTGAAAAGCAGTTTGCAAGTTTAAGGCAATGATAAGGCGCTAAAACTCTGTGGGAGCCTCCTGTTTGTGGGCCAGGACCCCCGACCCACCTCTGCTTTGAGGTGCCCAGCCAGCTCTCAGCACAACCCCACCGAGCCTTACTGGGCGGGCACCCGTAACCCAGACCCCACGACCCGGAGCAGGCCGGGGGAAGGCAGCACAACTTACCTCTCCAGCTCCTTGTTGAGCTGCTCGCAGAAAGCATTGATGCCGTCCCAGTCCAGGTCCTTGTTCAGGGGGTTCGTC